CCCAGCAGCAGAGGCAGGATGTCCTTCGGATGGAATATGTGGACTTATGCGGCCTGACAAATGCAGGTCCAGACCATTTGGGGGACTGGGACCTAATTAGACTACCTTTGGTGGGGAAGAAATGTCATGGAACCCACCGAGACCTGGGCTCATGGAGGGGGCTGTTTGTTTGGTTGAGCCGGGTGTCCGGGGCCAATGGACGGCTGTTGCGGTGGAGCCTGGCTCTACAGACGTTCAATTTCACGGTCCAATGCTGGCCTGGGAGACACAATGCCAATGCTGATGGACTATCCCGCCAAACACAACTGGAAGGGTGACTAACAGCATGGACATCCCCAAGTGGACCCGTAGAGGGTCTCACCGGGTCTGCATCTTTTAACTTGGGGGAGCTATGTGACGACATGGTGATGAGTTTATAAGTTAAATGTGTATTGGTATTGAGTTATGTTTTGAGTGCGTTATACTGAGTAACCTGGTTATGGAAAGACCATCAGCACCATCCCTCGTTATCTCCCATTGTTCTCTAAGGGAGCTCAGAACAATGACATTCTGCAATGGCTGTCTGGAGCTCGTTAGCAGGGGAAGCCCTGTGGTGTTGAGCAGACCGATTGTCTCTGAGGGGAGGGTGGATGTGATGGGATTATAATCTGATCTCATCACTTGCTGTATAAAAGTTTGTGCAGTTTCTCAATAAACCAGTTTGTTTCACCTACACTCAAGCCTCGGCTAGTTACCCTGGAAACTGGGAGCTAAGGATCTTCAGGTTGCAATATCTCCTCAGCAAGGAAGAAGACAGCGGCGGACATACTCATCCTGAGTACGGGGGTCCGTCACATGGGTTTGGGAGTTTATTGTTCATCTTGAGTTGCAATGGGACTGATTGTGTGCGTGTGTGGTCTCCCTAAATGCATGTGATGATGCGGTGTACTTTTTGTTGGACCAACTACGGCCATGTCGGATACTGTATGGTGGGTGGGTATGTTCAAATAATGATTAGTATTTCCAATTCCTCATTGAGTCCAATAGGGGCAAGGGTATTTAGACAATAGATCCAGAAAGTTTCTTGTCTGCAGAGCTTCTGGAAGCATTCTGAGGCGGAGTAATGGTCCGGGATTTGTTCGATGGCAAACAGATGTAAATCCTGGATGCGTTTACGAGGTTGGCCTCAATGCACTACAGCACTATTTAACATCATGTTCTACCCTACATCACAGACAGGCACAGTTCAATGTGGACTGTACCACCTTCACATTAGAACACAACTACTTTTCCTTTCTAGACAATTTCTACCTGCAAATTAAGGGCACAGCCATGGGAGCCAACTACGCGCCCAGTTATGCCAACCTCACCATGGGTTTCTGGGAAGACCAGTCCATATGGACCAATAACCCATTTGCCTCCCATCTGGTCTTCTATGGTCGCTATATAGACGACATTGTCATCATCTGGGATGGCCCCAACGAGTCCATACCACCCTTCGTCGCCCACTGTAATTCCAATAAATTAGGTCTGTCTTTCACACATATGTACAACCCGGACAGGATAGTATATCTAGACCTTGAACTCTCTTTTGACGGCAACAACATCACCACAAACAACCATGTTAAATCCACGAGTGGTAATTCATATGTACACTTTCAGAGTTGTCATCACCCCAGATGGCTCAACAATATCCCTAAAAGTCAGTTCTGCAGACTGAAACGCAATTGTTCCAAGATCACTGATTTCACTACACAGAGTCAACTCCTTGCCAAAAAATTTAAAGAAAAAGCATACCCAGATAAACTCATTTGCGACGCCTATTCCACCTACCTAAAATTAATTTTTAATTTTTAATCTCATTTGTAAATACACACACTTTTAAATACACACTTTTTACCAATCTAATTTTTACTCATTTTATTTTTCTATAAATCTACAAAAAAGGATGTACCATCACAGGGGTGCAACTTTGCTTCTTTTTATAAATCATCTCCCCAACTTCTCCCAAATAAAAATAAAAACTATTTCCCTTTTTCCCCCCCACATACTGACTCTCAGCTTTCCATACTCTCCCGATATATATTCATACAGGGTATTAAACATAATTGTAAGTTTTCACAACCAACATAATACCATACTTAGAATTCCTTGACTGGTTACCCCTGATACCCATTTGCGGTGTCCGTGGCCGCCAATATGGGTTCACTCTAGTATTCACTCAAACACAGCACATAGTAAAGTTGCCGTTAAGCCCCGCCCAGCTGTCAGTTTTTTAAAATCGGCGGATTCCCGCCACTTACAACACCGTTAGAGTGTTGTAAGTTTCCTCGAAACGCGTCGCTCCCCGGTGCTACCCGAGTCTCCTCTCTATCCCCGACTCCTAAAGCAGACTAACTCCAATAGCCTTTTTACCAGTTTTCCCCCACACACAGTCGGACGCTACACGCGCCGCTATTACCGGACCTCTAGGGACAGGACCGCTCTCGCTTTCAAGCACCGTCCTGTCAGCTGCAGAGACAGGTGTTCGTTCAGCTGAAGCACCATTCCGCCCACACACTGTCTCCACTCCGGTCCGTCTAGAGTGACACGGATACAGTCACTGCACTGCCAGGTCTCTCCCTCCGGTCACCTATTCTCCACTTTCCCACCGCGGCCGGCATCTCCAGCGACTCCTCTAGCCTCCGATTCTGGACCACTCGATCCTCCTGCAAGGCTTGGATGCAGCTGCTCGGTCATGGAAACCCATTCCATAAAGCTCTCTGCACTGCACTGCACTGCACTGTTGTTGTGTCAATCTGAAGGCCACACAAAGTTTGGAGATCTGTAGCTATTGACTCTGCAGACAGTTGGCAACTTCTGCGCACATTGCGCTTCAGCATGCGTTGAACCCGGTCTGTCAATTTACGTGGCCTACCACTTCGTGGCTGAGTTGCTGTTGTTCCCAGTTGCTTCCACTTTGTTATAATACCACTAACAGGTGAACGTGGAGTATTTAATAGCAAGGAAATTTCACGGATGGACTTATTGTACAGGTGGCAACCTATCATGATACCATGCTTGAATTCACTGACCTCCTGAGAGTGACCCATTCTTTTACAAATGTTTGTAGAAGCGTCTGCAGGCCAAGGTGTGTGATTTTTATACTCCTGTAGCCATGGAGGTGATTGGAACACCTGAATCCAATGATTTGGAGGGGTGTCCCAATACTTTTGGCAATATAGTGTATGTAGTCACATTGTTTTGATTGTAGCTTGGCACTATATTGTTCTATTGAGCATTTCTTCTTTACTTTTGCCCCCCGAGAAAAACGAGCAGTTAACCCTTGCAGTGGAGTAGCCCCACTGCAAGGGTTGATTTTTCTAAAACCTGGAGTTCTTCTTTAAATCTGCAAATTGTATAGTATCTTCTTAAAACCAATGAAGGGCTAGGGTGACAACACAGCAACAGACCTTTTAAAAGAGAACTATGGGGTAACCTTTTTTCTCATAGTTCTCTTAAGGGTCACAGGAGGACATACACTAACCTCCTCCCGTGACCCAAAGCTCAGTATATAGCGAACCACAGCTCGCTATATGCTGAGAGCATTGCAGCCGGGATGGATCCCGACAATACTGTCAAGATCCACCCAGCTAGCTGATTGACAGCAGGCTCTGCCTATCTAGAGGTGGAGCCAGCTGTGCCCGCCCCCTCCCCGTCCATTCCTCCAGTCAGTGCTGGAGGATCGGAGCGAAGAGAGAGGAATCCCTGCGGGGAGCAGTGACTGACAGTCACCGCTCTCTGCAGGTAGATGATAGGGAAGTGAGCGAGCAACGGTATGTGTTCGCTCACTTCCCCATCAATAGAGCCGACGCGTGACAGTTTAATTGTAAAAACAAAGCTACAAAGGCACAACAATTAATTGCCATTTAGACTATGAATAGGTGTCTTTTTGTCCCATCACAGGTTTCATGAAGCTTAAATACCTTTGGAGCATTTAATGAAATATTGGGATCTAAATGCTGCTTTTTTTTATTGCTATGTATATTTTATTGAATTTAAACTAATATAATATGATATGTTTTAATAATATTGTGTATGCTTGCAATCCACAATTGTTTGTAGGGACTTGGAGATGCCTAACTAGTGTCCTAGTTAGATGTTTATTTTCCATTACAGTGTATAAGCCAACACACTTTTTTAATGATTATTTTGAATAGAATAGAGAAAGCTCATTAACCCTATCAAAGTGTTCCCGCTGGGGAGATTTATCTTCTCTATTTGTCCGAGTAACCATTGTGAAATACAAAATTGTGAGTCGTCACCAGAACAGGTATAGAGGAGAAATCTTGTTGCAGTCACAACTGTACAAGACAGAAGATCCCTCTCTTTGAAGAGATTTCCTCTCACTTTCTGATGTGTCTACAGGTCAGGATGTGAAGGGAAATCTCCTTAATAAGACACAGACAGCAAGGAAAGCTGACATGGGTTTTAACCTTTCCATTCTCTATCCAAAAGGAAACATTTTGGGTTTAAAATTACTTTAAATCTTTGCACAAAGAGAATTACCAGACCATAATACTTTTTTTTCCCAATATCATTGCTTTCTTTATTACTTTTGATTACATACATATACATAACAGAGGTGGCTGAATAGTTCTAGTGATAATTATATAAAGTACATAACATATATTTCACCTTGTAACCATATATTGATCCTCATCAATCCCATAAAATTATTACTTTACAAATTGGCTAAAAACTGTTGCATGATCCTTCTAACAAGCTCAATGCAACCTTCTGATTAATAAATACAGATAGTGGTTTTTAACAGGACACCAAACATGCCTGTGATCACTGGTGTGGAATGTTGTTGTGCTGGTGTGTTACCTGTGTAATAAGTATGGTTGCTGTGGCATACATATGCTTGTGGGTGAAGTTTAGCAATGCTGATTTCTCCTGTTTCCCATTTCATGTTCCTTAAATAATTTTAGAGAGATATAGACAAATAGAGAGTGAATGTTCAGTCCAGGGTGGGACTATTACACCATTACAATGATCTCCTCTGTTGTAATAGTGGTTGTTGTAGTGGTGCTGGTAACATTTCTGTCATTGATGGTAAAAGTCTCAGTAAGGGTTTTGGTTTGTGGTGGTTTACTGAAATACGGCATACCCTGAAAAGGTTGCTGATTAGGAACAGCTGTTGCATTGCCTGAAATTTGGGGAGGAGGATTGTTGGTAAACGTAACAGGACTACCAATGCCAACTGTAATCTTAGTGTAAGATGGTGTAACTGAGTTGTTAATGTTGCTTGTAATCGTGGTTGGGCTAATAGTCTTCACTTCAGTGTACATTGTACTAGTTTCACTAACCTCTAAGTATGACATGTCTGCACCATTGAGTGTTTCAACAGTGGAAGTGACATTCACTACTATACTGCTTCTTATTGTGGTCACAGTGATATTTTTCTGAGGCTGAGTGGTAGTTGGCAATGGAGTTGTGGTAGTTGGAGTAGTAGTAGTAGTAGTAGGTGGTGTCGTTGTTGTAGTAGTTGTTGGGGTGGTAGTTGTTGGGGTGGTAGTTGTTGGAGTGGTGGTGGTTGGAGTTGTGGTGGTAGTTGTTGGGGTTGTAGTTGTGGTAGTTGGAGTGGTAGTAGTTGGAGGGGTGGTAGTTGGGGTGGTAGTGGTTGGAGTTGTAGTGGTTGGAGTGGTGGTAGTTGGGGTGGTAGTGGTTGGAGTTGGAGTGGTTGGAGTGGTGGTTGGAGTTGTAGTGGTTGGAGTGGTGGTAGTTGGAGTGGTGGTAGTTGGGGTGGTAGTGGTTGGAGTGGTGGTAGTTGGGGTGGTAGTGGTTGGGGTAGTAGTGGTTGGAGTTGTAGTAGTTGGAATGGTGGTAGTTGGGGTGGTAGTTGTTGTTGGAGTGGTGGTAGTTGGGGTGGTAGTAGTTGGAGTTGTAGTGGTAGTTGTTGGAGTTGTAGTTGGAGGCAGGGTTGGAACAACAAATCCTGAGGGATCTGAAATGAAATACACAGCTGTGTTAATGAAGAGTCTTTCTCAAGTTAAAATAACACACATTGGAACTGAACAGAAGTGTCATACAGTTAGCTATGCTATAATTAAAATGCAATGTGATAAGTTCCAGACTGAAATATGAATAAACATATGGGGAACTAGAGATATATTATGTTTACTGTGTTTACAGCTCTATACTTTTTCAATAAGCCACTTGGTAACAGTAACAATAGCCTAAAAATATAAACCACTTAAAGCGGCAATAAACACACTGATTTAATTGCTTCACAAAAAGCTCAAGAAGTGTTCAATAAATGTTATTAAATCCAAAATCAAACATACTAATGTTGTTTTCTCCTACTAGGGCATGTGCAGAACATGCTACATTTAAGGCATGCCTCTGGTGATAACTGACACAGTTGCCAGTGTGCTTATGTCAGCTCATAACCAATGTTTCAAGCCTTCAAATGGCTGGTGTAATCGCTTGTCATGTGGGTTACGATGACACCACCCTCAGCAAATAGGAGACTAGGAGGATTGAGTTTCTCTTTTAAAGACCAAGGGAAATAGATCTGCAGGCAGATTACAGCAGCGGTATCTAACCACTAATCTTTAACCGAAAGCATACAAAATACTCCTTACTAGCTAATGAACTCATTTTGCTCCATTTTATTAACCACATTCATGTCATGGCTTTGTTCACAGCTAATATTAGGATTTCCTTACCTGTACAATAAACCTCAGATTTTAGGCTTCCAGAGAACTTATAGACGTAGTACCCTCCAGCACAGGCTTTGACTGGGATGGTTCCTGCAGCTGTACATCCTGTTACTGAGTTAGCAAAAAGGGGCATCATCACCACACCTTGACCAATAGCTGGATGGCTGGCATTCAGGGTATATGGTTCAGCTGATCCACATTTAATAGAACCAACGCAACCCTCCTGCATCCTCAAACCTACTGTTCCATTGTAGCGAAACCAGCCAAAGTTGTATCTGTCAGTGACGAAGACTCCAGTGGAATTGATTGTAGACAATCTACTGGTTCCATTCAGTAGCTGGTAATTCAGGCATGGATCTGTGCACTGAACAGTGCCTCCAACATTCAGGCAGTCTTGGTCATAGGAGCATGTGCTACTGGGGCAGGCAACACTTCTGGTACTGCCACATAAATGTATACCGACCCTGTTTGTACAGGTGGATGAGGGGACACACTTGTTTAGTGTTGCATCTGCACATTCATTTATATCTGTGCAAAGTTTATAACCTACTCTGCTATCCCAGTAATAGCCTGGGATACAGCAGGTCTCTGTGGTACAGGAAGCGATGGCTGTGCAGTTTATTCCATTTCCAGCATAGCCGGATATACAGCTGCATGTCACATAGCCTGACTTCTGGGTACAAGTGCTGGCAGTAGGATGGCAAGAAGAACATGTCAGTGCATCTGTGATAAAAACAGAAAGGGATTATGTGCTACTTCTGTGGACCCAATCTTATAGCTAAAGGGTTATATACATCTCCATACTGCCAAGTATCTGGTGTGGCATGTCAGGAATACTCAGACTGCTAATTTGTATACACTTGGTGCATAGGTAGTCTGGATAGGTTTTAGAAATGAAGGATTCCATGTAAAGTAATGCCATTAATACACACAATGCTACAGCCTCAGCCTGAACAAGAGAGGATAGAATACTAGGCCACCAACACAAATATGCAAACTGCAGGGACAATAATAAGGACCTGGTTGCATTGTTGTGCTAGGAGGGGTGGCAGTCTAGAACAATTTGTTCTACATAGAAATGTGTTGCAGGCAGTCTACAACACAGTGTGAGAGTTCCTGTGTACCACCAGTCACAGCCCTTCCAGCCTAGGCCACAGCCTATTTCAGCTCAAATATATCCTACTTCTGTTGGACCCCTTCTCCTGACAGCTGCTAGAAGATAGGCTCAGCTGGAAATATATAGAGGGTAATTTATCAAATCTGGAGCAGCTGCCCATGGCAACAATCAACTTTTCATTTTTTTGTGTTCAGTTAAGCTTTGCAAATGAAAGAGAGCAGCTGATTGGTTACCATGGGCATCTGCTCTAGATTCTGTCTGCTCCAGTTTTCATCATTTCCCCTCATTGTATCTCCCTGTCTTGGATTAGTCTTATTTTTTCTATTATATTTTCATATAATATTTACAATTGTGTTATACCATATGCAACTCATATACAGGTATATCATAAAACTAGATTTTTTTCTCAGAAAATCATAAAACAATTTAGCAAAGAATACATTTCAATTTTAAAGTAAACCTGTACTAACAGAAATATGTGGCCTTCCTCTGCTGCCTCTCCTTCTGAAAAAGCTAGTTACCTGGCAGCCATGCTGATTCCATGACTTTCTAAATTGATAAGCTGGAACACTTACTGAATTCTATCATGGAATGTTTTTTATTTTTGTTTGCTTGCACATGATTGTATGATGGAAGTCAGAAGAGCTTCACCTCATTCACAAAGCTAAAGTGAAAATTCTTTTTCAAAGCAATCAGCCTATTTGCCTTGAGTAAATCAACCCCGTTGGGCCTATATAAGTAAACCTGGAAGAAACATATTTATTTCCAACCCAACTATGTATCATGTGCCAAAGTGACATAACTACCCAATTTACAGGTTATATTGCCAAAATGTGACACCATACTTATACTTATAAATAAATGTTATAATGTGTGTGAAGTATAGGGGTTTATTTACTAAAGGTAAATGTTTACTTTGTGAACGAGATGAAGCTCTGTTGACTTCCATCATCCAATTATGTACAAACCAAAAAAAATGTTTTTTATTTTATTTTCCTTTTTATGGGATTGGATATTCTTTGCAAAGTCAATTTTCACCACATTCACTGAGCTAAGGGAAAATCCCCTTGCAAACTAAACAGCCTTTTTGCTTTTAGTAAATCAATGCCATTACTTTATTTTTCTGTCCACATTAAACTGGTGATAGCTGATTGGCTGTTCTTGTTACTGCACATTGCTGCTCTTTGCACCTTATTAAATAATCTTTATAGCCGATGTGAAAGACAAATACATCCATTAATCTGCAGATATGGCAACACAACAAAAACAACCCTCTACCTGAAGTACTGTAATATTAATCTTGCGCTCAAAATTTGTAAGGTGTACATTTGTTTCTTTACTTACTCTGAGAATGAGCTGTTCTGAAAAACAGGGCCAATAAGGACAGCAAAGCCAAGGTCTTCATGGTGTAATCTGGGATAAGAGAATCAAAAAGTAATCTGGGCTTATTTGTAGCCATGTTTTTTTTATTTTTTTCTGCTAAAACATAATGATATATAATAGTTGTTCCAGCAATTGTGTTTCCCGTCTAATAAGCAGCTCATCTGTTGCAGTGCTTACAGCTGGCAACAAAACCACTAGATTCTTCAGTTATTCTCTCCAACAAAACTGATGATCATCATCCTTTATTAGTGAGTTGTAACCTAAGAGGTGTAGGAGTTTATTTACTAAAGCAATAGAGACTGTTATTACTTAGCAAAGTAAATGTTCACTTGGCTTAACAAATAATCTGAAGCCGTGTTCACCTTGAATTCTGAATCATGAGAGTCAGGGAAATTAAAGAAAATAGATTTTTGCTTGAACATGATTGGACGATTCCAGTAGACATCTAAAGTTCATTTAGTTCCGAATTGATATTCTTCCAAATTTAGTGAAATTGGGACATTCAGATGCATCCAAATTTCCGAATTCGAACGCTTCTGAATGCGAACGAATCCGAATGTTCATATAACAAAAATTCTGATCCGTTTGAATTTCGTTCAAAAGGAAACTAAATTGGACATGTGACTGTTCTCTGGCCAATGAGTTTTTTGGCTGTAGGGGGTTGCATCACAGACACGATCATGTGACTTCCTGTTGTTGATTGTTACGAAACAAAAATTACGGACACGAAATCCAAATAATGAACCAAATGAAATTTCAAAATCTCAATGAATCTAAAACTAAACTAATTTTTTTGCGGGGGCTAAATATCTAGATTACAGGACCAGAGCTTTATTGATCTAAGAGAACACTCGCTTTTCAAAGTCAACATACAACTTGCTAAGAAAACAGTCTCAATTGCTTTTAAAAAAACAGCCCCAAAGCTTCTATATTTGCAAGTTAATTGTTCAATAAAAATAATGACATGTAAAAAAAACTCAAATAAAAAATTCCCCTATCCAGTGCAGCCCAATAATGTCAAATGTCATTACAAAATTGTTTCCTAAATGATGACAAGACATTCCTAAGCAATTGGTAATGTTCCAACAGATAATACTGGCACTGGGCACATCTTTCTAAATCAAAATATAATTTATAGACCCATGCCAAATGCCAATATTATTATTATCATCATTATTATTATTACCATTATAATTGTTATCAATGCAATATGTTATTTATATTTCTGTGACAATTAGTTTCAAATACATATTTTCAAATATAAATCCAGAATGTAGTAACATTCATATACATTCTACATAATATAATGTTTCAGTGGGGTGATTCTTACCTTAGTGTATCTAGTTGCTTGCAATCACCCTCCTTTGTATGTGAGAGACTTTAGCTGGGCATGCAGTTTTGGTATTAAACCTTTCTATATACAAGAGGTGCGACCATTTAACGAATCGTAGAAAGGGGGCTGGTTTTACCAAACAAAAACATAATTGCTTAAACTGATGGCAGATGCATGAGAAATATACTTCCTGTATTTGTATTTTGGAACAATACATTAATCCTTTTTTGTTTGCTCTTTGACAAAGTTTTCTTTTTTATCCCATTTAACCATGACAGGTAAGTTCACACCCATCTTTCAACATGGCTTTATGTCTTAATACAATTACTCTCTTGGAGTTCTCTATAGACTGATGTCACAAGTGGCATTTTGGCATTTACCTATTTAGTCTTAATCATGAAAGTATGTCTTTTGTGTGTTTATTCCTGGTACAAAGAATTGCCACTCAAAGGACTGACATTTGTTGGAGTCAAGTTTTTTATATATGACCTCTTAATCTGTAGGATCTTAAATGCTGATATAATGCGGGAGGATGTTTGATGGTATATTTGTATTACAGAACAAGAGTGCGGTTTCATTTCACAGAATACCATCGCTCATGAGAAATCTCACCAGTGGGCATGTATAGCAATAAAAACCAAACATATATAGCAATAGGAACCCTATCCAAAAATGAAATAAGGTTTATAGTGGAGATTCATTTTAAGCTTTAACTATGAAAACAGGTTTCACCTACAGGTAGACATGTAGGTTCTGAGAAAACTAACCTTTACATTTGCACTGCATTATGGCCACTGGGTGGAGACAAGGAGCAAATTAAATAAATTCTTATTCCTATGTTACTTGGCTCCATTTAGTGGCCATAGTGCAGTGCAAATGTAAATGTCAATTTTCACAGAATGACTGGCTCTGAAAACCTTTTATAGCTACACCCCAAAGTGATTTATAAATATAAACTAAATGTCATTTTGTTGGGGTGTACATCTACTTTATGAACTTTCATGTTGAAGCATTGAACAGCTTTAAAATAGGGACTGAAGAAAATGTATTAGATGTATTATACAGTATGTGTTATAGCGCATCACTATATGGGAAGTCATATAATCTGGTATATTACATATTAATATAAAGCTGTTACTCAGAGACTTCATATGAAGCTCCCAGGATTCCCCAATGAAAATGCCAGATCACACTGCATTCAGAGCCAGCATAAAAATTGAGCCAAATAAACATAGGGGAAAACTGCAAACATAAAGGAAAAATAAAACACAAAGCAATAAAGTTCACAAAGTTTATTGTTTCGTAGGAGTATTTTGGGTAAGTATTAGAGATAAGAGAAATGTCTCTTGAATTCACTAGGCTTTAACATACAAACGTAGAAAGATTTGCTGGTATCCTTACAGCTGTTTGAAACAATGCATTTTCACTTCTGAAAAGTGCATTAATTAAAAGCAATAGTCCCATGTATAGCTGCATGCGTTCGTATGTTATAAATTACAACAACAAAAATGTGAAAAGAGATAAATGATTGCCTATTGTACAAAGACATTCTAAAAGGTGTGGACAGACCTAGAGACGATTACAAACAATTGGATCATAGTGATATTTCAAAAGTAGTCATCAGCAGTGCTGTTTGGTATAATTGAGTGCACTACACTGAACAGGGACTAGAGAAAGCAAAGAAGAGAGTTGTCTGAGGAGATCAGAAAGAAAATTATGTTTTTCTTTTATGTTTTAGGTTTATGTTCATGTGACTACTGTTGCAAATATTATTAAGATATTTAAGGTCCATGTGACTGTGGCCAATGCTCCTAGACATGGCCACAAAAGGAAATCGACCCGAAAGTGAACAGAAGGATAGTACAAATAGTAGACAAAGAGCCAAGAAAACTCCCAGAGAGAAACAAGCTGAACTTTAAGATCAATGTACATTAGTGTTTTCTATTGTACCGTCCGTCGTTTTTTGAGCAACAGTGGGTTCAAAGGAAGAAGACACAGCAGGACTGAATGGAAAACATAAAAACCCAGACTGGAATTTGCTAAAATGCATTTTGACAAGCTACAACGCTTCTAGGAGAATGTTCTTTAGACAGATGAGAAAAAACTAGGGTTTTTTTGCAAGTCACATCAGCTCTATGTTCAGAGATGGAAAAATTAAAGGAGAACTATGGGGTTAAGGCTTTTCCCCATAGTTCTCCTTAGGGTAACGGGAGGACACAAACTAGCGTCCCCCCGTCACCCTAGGCTCAGTATACCGCGAGCTGTAGCTCGCGGTATACTGAGACGCCACAGCTGATCCTGACAATTGTGCCGGGATCCGCCCAGCTGCGTGACTGACAGCTGGCTCTGCCTATCTAGAGGCAGAGGCAGCTGTACCCTCCCCCGTCCGTTCCGCCAGTCAGCGCTGGCAGATCAGAGCGGGGAGAGGGGAATCCAGCCCCTCTCCTGTCACGGCACAGAGCCGTGACAGGATCGAGAGGTGAGCAAACGCCGGTATGTGTTCGCTCACCTCCCGATCTACTGAGCCTACCTGTGACAGTCTCATTGTCACAGGTCGGCTAGAACTATGAGGTGAGTGAAAAGCACTCACCTCATAGTTCTCCTTTAAGCGTTCAAAGAAAAGTACATCATACCTACTAGGGATGGACCTACACCGAGTATTTGGGGCGAGTACTCACCCAAATGCTCCGATGCCTAGCCTGATACTTCCGGTATCTGGAAGCCGGGCAGCGTGTAATGACACGCTGCTCGGCTTTCTGATTGGCCAGAAAACCGGCTTAATGCTCCCTCGTCACCTGATGGCTTCCCTGCCAATCGGGAGGCTGGGTGGCGAGTCTTTACACACCGTCCAGCTTTCCGGTTAATCAGGAAGCCAGGTGGCGAGTCATTGCACGCCGCCTGGCTTCCTTAATGGGACTTCCAGTATCGGTATTCGGTAACGGCGAATACCGAAGAAAAAATATCGGTACTTGTACTCGATACCGAAAAACCAGTATTGGTGCATCCCTAATACCTACTGTGAAACATGTAGGAGGCTTAGTTATGTTTTAGGACTGCTTGGCTGCATCTGGCATGGGTGTCTTGAATCTGTGAATAAAATCTCAAGATCAAGGGATTCTGGAGTGAAATGTACAACCCCAATTCCCAAAAAGTTGGGACACTGTAAAATCTACAGAAAACCAGAATGCAATGATTTGCAAATCTCATAAATCCATATTTTATTCACAATAGAACATAGCAAACATATCAAATGTTTAAACTCAGAACATTTACCATTTGAAAAAAAAAAAGGTAATTTTGAAATTGACGGCAGGAACACATCTCAAAAAAGTTGGGACGTGGCCATGTTTACCACAGTGTAGCATCCCCTCTTCTTTTAACAACACTCTGCAAATCAACACTTTGCAAATCATTGTATTCTGTTTTTATGTAGATTTTACACAGTGTCCCATCTTTTTGGGATTTGGGGTTGTACTACCCAGTGTCAGAAAGCTCTGTCTCATTCACAGGCCATGGATCCTCCAATGGCCCAAAACGCACAGCTAAAAGCACCCAAGAATGGGTAAGAACAAAACACTGAATTATTCTGAAGTGGCCACCTATGAGCCTTGATCTAAATGTTATCCAACATCTATGGAACGAGCTAAAAGGTGCAGTCTGAACAAGGCATTCTTCAAACCTGAGACAGCTGGAGCAGTTTGCTCAAGAAGAGTGGGTCAAACTACCAGTTGGTAGGTGCAGATGTTTCATGGAGAGCTACAGAGAGCTTTAGTGGTTGCCTCTAAAGGTTGTCCAACAAATATTGGTTAAGGGATCCATCATTTTGTCCAGGCCATTTTTATTTATTTTATTATTTAAAAAATTCTGGTAAATCAAAGTCTATTTTGTATTAAATATGGAATAAACAATGATGGCTGGCAATTAATTTTGTCAGTTTCAAGTTATTTAAGAGGAGTAGGAAGTAGAGTGGCAAGCAGAAGGTAAGTGCCAGCAATGGAAGGGAAATAATACATTAATAGAGAGAAAATGTATTGAACACTATGGGGTCTATTCACAAAGCTGCCGAAGGATCTGGCCGTAGCATTTATTATATTCCATTTATGTGTCTGTTTCTTTATCCATTTATCAGTTATCAGTTTGTCTGTTCTACTTTCATCTGTCCATCATAATGATCAACTGTACAAATATGAGGGTGGAAAAAGAAAGTTTTTGTGTGTAGTGACCCCTTCTCTATTCACAGTCATTGATTGTTCCAATCATTTGTTTAACAGGTGTATTGAATGCAAACTGACATAAAAGGGTGACATTTTAAAAGCTACAACCACACCAAGCCTACACGGGTGAAATAAAAAGCTTAATTCTTACTTTGTTAGTGTGACGTGACTATTTCTGTCACATTTTTAGGGTCTTTATTGAAACATAACCTAGCCTAAGTGAATAGCATTAGGCAGAGATGTATTTGCAGTACTGAGTCAGCGAATAACATTTTGTTTTTTTGCTACACCCTTCCTTTGCACTCCAAATATTTGAGAAATGTTTAGACTCAAACACAAAATGTCTTAGATCTTTTGTTCTCTTCTAAGGCCGGTACTGGCTCCTGCAGCTATTAAACAATTCAAGCAAATTGCACTCAGAATATGACGTAGGTTTTAGCCTTTGCCTGAAGTTACTTTTCACTAAAGTATCCCAACATTGTAACTTCTGAAATCACAAAAAATCTTCTCTGACTGTGGCCCTTCCCCGATGACCACCTTTTCTGTCCCTCCCTGTGTATATTTAGCAGAATGTTCAGTAATTAGTATGAAGATATGACATCTTGAGAAATAGGAGAATGTTTCTTTTTTGTACTTTATATATAGTACAGTAAATAAAATCAAATGATGGGAAGGCACGGAAAGTTCAGTTTAATGGCATAGCATATATATTATTGGAAGAATTACAGGAATTAATAGATATTAATCATTCAATGTATGTACTAAGATGACCACTCATGCATGCCAGGAAAATATGTAACACTAGAATTTTTTTAAACCAAATAAAAAAACCTTTTTTTTGTACAGGTCTCAGTTGCTGGTGTATAAAATTAATAAAGAGTGTCCAGTATACCTATTGAGAACATTATATTCAAGCTCCAAACCAGCCTTTTGAAAAAAGGTGGTTATTTCACACTGGGCATTGGGTAACCACACTGTACCATGATGGACTATCCACTTTCAGAGCATTTTGCTGAGTGGTTGTCAGACAATTTACAGATTTTTGTGGGTTTTTTTCAGATAAATTTGAGTACATTTTCTAACACATCCTGCAGAAGTAGAAGATTTCCAGTATAAAGAAGAACTTCATAGGTGAATCGGTATAAGAAATATTTCCACTTATTTGTTGTCTTAGAATGATAACATGCTTGTTGCAGACCAGTAACTAGGTAAGCATTGAAGCTAGAGAAGCTCAGTCAACTAATGTTTTAAAAAAAAAAGGCCTGAAATTACAACTACACGCTTTCCCTCACTTTGTAGAGATTTTCTCTCCTTTCCTGTTGTGTCTCCAGGAGAGGAAGTGATGAAAAATATTGACAGTGCAACACAGATAGCAAAAAAAAAAAGAAGACGATACCCTGAAAAAAAGGTTTTGGCTTTACATACACTTTTGTTATGAGATGCAGCTTCAAAATATCTTCTCCATGGCATTCTCCATGTGTTTTCTACAATGTTACAGTGCGTAGGGATAACAGATAACCTCTGAACACTGAAGATCTGAAACCATCCGTATTCAGAACAGACTGCACTTTACCAGAGAATTCCAATACTTCGTACTTTATTGAAATTCACAGCAAATCCAGTAGATCAGTGAATACAAGGGTATAAAGCAACAAATACCACGGCACACCACCAACGAGCTACATTCTATGACATGTTTCACCCGTAGGCTTATTCATAGAGGTCTCCCATACCAATCACCCGTAGGCTTATTCATAGAGGTCTCACCTCTATGAATAAGCCTACGGGTGAAACATGTGATAGGATGTAGCTCGTTGGGGGTGTGCAGTGCTGGTATTTGTTGCTTTATACACTTGTATTCACTGATTTACTGGATTTGCTGTGAATTTCAATAAAGTATGAAGTATTGGAATTCTCTGCATAGTGCGGTCTGTTTGCATACTACTAGATTCCAAGGTGGAGACGCACCTATTAGACCAGCACCTGGGGAGTCCTGATGGTGGCTAAGGAGTTGGAGCGGTGCGATTTCCTTTGGCTCTACATCCGTATTCAGAGCTTCTATTTTTCTGGATGCACAGTTTCTTACTGATGCAATACAAAACATACATACTACCTTTACTTGTTCATTTGCATATGACAATAGAAAATTAAAGTAAACTATAAGTTTGCCCATTCAGCGCAGAGTAACAAGTTTACCTGAAGTCCCCTTGCCCCTGCAGTAGATATTTATTTCCCCTTATGCTCCCCCTTACCTTGTTTACCAGCTGGAATCCTACAAAATACCTGATACTTAGAGGTATGGGAGAGCATGTGACCCACTCTCCTTCCTCCCACAATACAGTAAGAGGATGGAGAATTGGGGCAGTGGCCAAGTATCAGACCTGAGCATTGTCACTTTAAAGTGGTGGTAAGGTTCTTAACCCTGTGTAAGTTCTGACACAGACTGCCATAGAACATTCACGTGCTTTTTTTTTTCAGGGCCCGTGTAGGTAGTGGGGCGGTATGGAGAGCAGGGAAGCTAAGCCTCAGTATTAGGGTATGTGGGCTATAAACAGCCTGTTAGTTTGCCCTGAATGGGCAAAGTGAAGATTCACTTTAAGGTGGCAGCTGCTGCAAGACAGAAAACAAAAAAATTTGTGAAATACAGAGAAGTATATTTAGATATATGTTTTTACATAACATCTCTATTCCCATTACTAATTCGATTTATTCCCATTACTAGTCAGGGGGTGCTAGGTATGCTTAAAGTGACCCTAAACTCAGGACTTAACTCTTAGAAATGCATTTAGGTACCTTAACTATTAATAAAAATGTATCTTATTTGTGTATCACTCGGCTGTAGATCCTCAAATCATCTCTGAATTGGTGCTGACACTGTCCTTCCTTCTGGAGGGTGGCTACTTTTCTTCTTCATAGTCCCTGTGTGTGTTATAAAGTAGCCACCGCTCCAAGCTCACTCGTGTGATGGACTACAATCTCAGGTTTAGTTTACTCATTTGTATTAAGAATGTAGTCCATCACAGAGCGAGCTTGGAGCGGTGACTACTTTACAACACACACAAGGACCATGGGGAACAAAAGTAGATAGCCTCACGAAAGCTAAGTGATACACAAATAAGATATATTTTTGTTAATAAGGTACTTGAATGCAATTTTAAGATTTAACTCCTGAGTTTAGTGTCACTTTAAGGTATCTATATTAAGTTTGATATTTTTATTTCATAAACCGATAGTTTTCAACTGGTAAATTAAATCTGTAAGCATCTTGTGGAGCCACCGGCCTGGAACAAGCCTGAAGCCAAGGAAGTCTCAAAAAGACTAAATGCAAATATTTCAATATTTCATCTTAGTCCATGAACATTAATATTGTCACATGGTATG